TATTATTATTATTATTATTATTATTATTATTATTATTATTATTATTAATTAAACTGCACTTCTAGAAACTGATTTTTTAAAGAGCTTTCTTCAACAGATATCAATTGTTTATAAGCTTTCCTCAGATTCTCATTTTATAAGATTTGTTCCGTCACTTTAAGGCCAACAGGATGAATATACCACCTTTCCATGATGTGTCAAGCAGTAATCTAAAATCCTACATATTTTTTTTAGGTTTAAGTAGAAGAAAATGACAAAAGATAGATGTAGGAAGAGATAATTCAGGTATGTTTCTGTGAAAACGGCACAACAGAATCCCTCCTGTGTGTGTGTGTGTTTTTGCATTTAAAACAGCAGCACTACCTCTGTCACTCAGCATGCACTGGTTTGATTGATAGACAACCAGTCAGTTATAAATGTTCAAAATGTTTGCACTCCTGACTGAGACACAAAGATATCTTTTCCTGAAAGCCTGTCACAGTACCTCATACACGTGTGGCTGCTGAAATCAGAGCCACAGTTATTCACACACTCCCCATGCGCTGTTGGAGCTTATTTATGTGACCACAAAGGACTGACTTTCCTTTCCCATCTTGCATTGGAGGCTTTGTGCTGCTAATTCAAACAGCTGCCGTTAGACAGTCCACAGCTCCCAGCACTGGCACTCCACCTGAAGAGGACTCCATCACAGACTGTTAAACCTGCAGGCTGCTGCAAGGGTGTGAAAAACAGGGGGAGTGGGAGAGACAGGCACCATGTAGGAGTAAAAACAGCCGTAGCAGCACATGTACTTTGATTACTCTGACACCTGTTGTAGGTTTGAGTAATTTAAGGAAAGGTACCATTCTGCCAGGTTCATTTAGGTGAAAAAAAAAGTATTTTGAAAAGATGGTGAATTGATTTTATAGTACTCCTAAATACTTTACATCTTCACCCATTTGGGCTCCACGTTTGGCTGTTTTTATAAAATCTTACTTGTCGCGTTTAAACTCAAAACCCCTGTCTTTATCTTTTTCCTGCTTTCAGATTTGTTTTGTCAGCGTGGACCCTCATAAAACAGACTGCCATAATGATGAAAACATCAAGGTGAGCTGATTTTATGGCCACACATTTGTTCTCTCATTTTCTTGTTCCCCTTCTCGTCCTGCCCACTTTTTTCCATCTCGTAGGAACTCTTCTTTGTATTTCCTATAAACATCTCACCCCTGTTGCCATGGATTCAAGATCATTAACCAGAATTAAAGGGCAGATTTGTTAGATGATATACAGATGTTTTAGTTTTTCTTTGCATATGGGGTGACAGAAGTGGGCAATCAGTAATTCCACACAGTTTGAAACATCAAGAATTAGACGATCATTGAGTTTAACAGAGTCACGAGGGTGTTTCGTCATTATGTACCACTGTCCCTGTGCTTGGCATGTTTCTTGCAGAAATTGGCATCAGTGTCTCCTGACCTGCCAAAGCTTGTTGAATTACTGACTGTCCACCAGTCGAAAGAAAATGAGATCCTGCTGCTTGGTGGCCTGGAAGCCTCAGAAACTTACCAAACACACCCACACTCCCCACTGCAGGTGAGTTTGCAATGATGTATAAAGTCTTGTTAGGATTTCCGTCATTTAAAATAACTGTCCAGGACTGTAAAAGCAGAAAGTGGAAGCTGTTCCACTTTACAGCTTTTCAGTGTGATTACATTTGAAGCTTTTGTGCTACAAATTCATGTTGCTCAAGTCATCTCTTCTCTTATAGAAAAAAAACCCTGCTGGCTGACTCTGGATGTTGATGAGACTTTGATCTATTTTCTATTGTGTTTGGAATAATACAGACATATCATACAATGCTGAGATTGAACATGATGAGTTAGACAAACAAAATGCAAAACTTATTTAACCCTCAATTACTGAACAATTAATGTCTCACTAAAACTATTTTACCATTTAATTGTCGTATGCTTAAAAAGTAAACATATTCAGGCAGCTAACAAACATTGTCTTCTATTTCATTGTTTTTTTCTAATAGTTTTATCCATCCATCTTTACTTGCTTTTTCCTTTTCAGGTTGCAGGGGTCACTGGTGCCCATGTCCAGTAGTCGCTGTGCGAGAGGCAGGGGACAGGTGGACAGGTCTCCAGTCCATCACAGGGACACACAGAGACAAACGAGGCAAACAACTATTCACTCTCTCACTCACACCTAGAGACAATTTAGAGTTACCAATCAGCCTAACATGCATGTTTTTGGTCTGTGGGAGGAAACCGGAGTACCCGAAGAAAACCCACACATGCAAGGAGAGAACATGCAAACTCCACCCAGAAAGGCCCCCGACTGGGATTTGAACCGTTGCGACCTGCTCGCTGAGAGGCTGCAGCCCTAGCAACTGCGCCACAGTGCTGCCCTTAATAGCTTTTATAATAATTTAAAACAAAACAAGCATTGCTTGAAAAAACATATTGTGCACAGTCTTGCATGCCAAAATGTATACAAAGATTTTAAACGATGGCAGCACAGTGGTGCAGTTGGTCGAGCTGCTGCCTCTCAGCGAGAAGGTCGCCATGGTTCAAATCCAAGCCGGGTGCCTTTCTGGGTGGAGTTTGCATGTTCTCTCCGTGCATGTGTGGGTTTTCTCCGGGTACTCCAACTTCCTCCCACAGACAAAATCAAACGTTATGCTGACTGGTAACTCTAAATTGACCCTAGGTTTGAGTGAGAGAGTGAATGGTTGTTTGTCTCATTTGTCTCTGTGTCCCTGTGATGGACTGGAGATCTGTTCAGGGTGTCCCCCACCTCTCGCACAGCAACTGCTGCATATGGGCACCAGTGACTCCCATGACCCGAAAAGGAAGAAGGGGGTAAAGGTAATGGATGTATGGATGGATTTCAAACAATCTGCTAGCACTCAGAGTAAATTATATGAATTTACTGAGTAAATCTCAGCTACTACAACACAAAAGTTTAACTCATTATCTGTAAGACTGAGTGATTTATTACAAATTTTGTGTTAGCAAAGGTTGATTAACTGTGGAAGCCAGGTAGGATCAAAATGTTAATCAGACGTATTTCCAAAGTTTACTTTCTAAAAGTCTTATTAAAATCTATTTACTGATTGATGGGGTAAGTTGTCAAAAGACAAACAAACAAACACACAGAGAATAATTATCATTTGTCCATGGTGGGTAATAGTAATTACACCATTATAAGAAAATACCTGCTACACAAACATCCTGAGAATCCTCCTCAGACAGTTATACTTATATCAGTTGGTTCATGAGCATAAAAAAAATAGAAAAACAAACTAATGGGTATTACAGTATTTTTTATTACCTAGCTCAAAGTTTAGATTAGCTGTGTTATTATGTCTATAGCTTTATATGTGCTGAATCCATTTACATTTCTGAATGGGTTTGCGTCTTGCATGATAAATATGTGCATATGTTCCATTTAGGGCGGGCAGCAAATAGGCATATGTCTGCTACAGCGATCAGGAAAGAGGCGATCCTCAGCACCTGCCAGTGTCATCCTTGAGATCAACAAGTTCCTGATTGGTTTGCAGTGGGGGAAAGAGCGACAGTTTCAACAGGGCCGAGCAGCCAGACAAAGGGTCGATGATGATACCAACCGTTCTATCTCGTCCATAGAGGAAGACTTCCTAACGGCTTCAGAGCACCTCGAAGAGGAGAGTGAAGATGAAGACCCAAGAAATGGTACACTTTAATATTTCCTCAAGATTATGGCGCATCTCAAAATGCAGACCAAATTGAAGGCATGTTTGTCTTTGAGGGAAGATACATCATAAAAAAGCTAGTAGTGCTGGAACAGTCACCAGAAACCAGTATGATAAAAAAAGTTTTTTTTTTTTTTCATGGTATTTTGGAAACTGACTGAGTGCTGCCAAATCAGCATGGATATATTTCAGTTTCTGTCATTTCATGTTTTTTGTTTTCTCTTCACAGAGCCAGAAATTGGTGATGCAGAAGAGAGCCTGGTCGAAGCTGGGCAGAAACACTGCGTAACATCTCACGAGGAACAGTTAGCCAATCATCAGAGCCAGGAGGAGACTAATATAAAGAGAGAATGTCCTCCAAGTTTGAGTCTCAAAACCAAGGAATCAGCTGGTTACTTTGCCACCAATTTGGCTGAGTCGGTATTACAGGATGCCTTCATACGACTATCTCAAGATGAATCTTCCTTTGTTTCTGAAGCAGCTATCAGTGTGTCCCACTCTCATTGTCTTTCCAAGAGTCCTTCCAAGATCAAAGGACCTTCACAACAGCACGCCTGCTCTTTTGAACTACCCAAAATTGTCATAGTTCAGAGCCCAGACAGTTCTGACGGGGCTGCAGAATGGTCAGAAACACAAACGTCCAATATGGAAGATCGCAATATCCCTGCCATAGAAATGCCAGAAAATGAAACCCAGGCACAGACACACCACCACAATGGAGGACACAGACATGTAGAGATGGCTTTGGCCTGTGCTGCCAGTGTTATTGGTACCATTATGACCCCAAAACTGACTGAAAAACTCACCCATGATTCTCCATCAGTAGAGGACACAAAGGAGGAACAGGAAGAGGCAAAGGATCAAAGCAACTATTCTGTCTCCTCAGCTATATGTGGTATGGCTCAAGTAGCTGGAGCAGTAGCAGCTGTGGAGCTAGCAGAGGAGTCAACAGAAGGTGAATATTCTGAAACAGATACTACTGAGGTCTACACAGCATCCCATGGTCTAATGTCTGTTGCCAAGGCTTCAGCAGCCTTCCCGCTTCACTGCAGTGTGGCAGAGGGTACTAGTGTGGAATCATTCCGAGCTAACATAGCTGAGGTTCTGCATAGGGAAGCAGCTGAGGTACTGACCCAACCACAAGGCTACAAAAGTGTTGCACACTTGCTGGAGACCACACATAACAAAATAGTGGATGGTATTACTTGTCCAAAAACATGTTGCATGGATGAAAAAGAGGTGGATGATCTAATAAATGAAGTGGCAGACAGCTTATTCAAGCATGCTTTGGAAAAGGCAAAAAAGAAAAAGGAACTAGAAGGAGCTGGAAAAGATGCTCCCAGCCTCCAGGTATTTCTGCAGGACAGTGTTAACAATTTGTTGTTTGACATTCTTTGCCTGACACAGAAAAAAATCAGTTGTATCTCCTCCACATGTGACCAAGAGTCAAATGAAACACAGAAAGGTGACACTTGTGTTAACAAGCCTGCCACTACAAAAGGAAGCAAAGATCTATTGGGTCAGAGGCTTTGCTTGGTCAGCAATAGTCAATCCACTAATAGTGAGAAACTCAGTGGCATGATGTCCTCCACCGATAAGGTTTCTGTGCTTCCAGGAATGAAGCAAAAACACTTCCTTGAGGAAGGAGATTTCTGTGCATCTTCCTCTACAGCGCACTCCAAAGAACAACAACAGTTGTCTTTATGCAGACAAAGTCAGTCTAAAACTAAAGACTTTTCTGACCAGCAGCATACCAGTGGTGCCAACAGGGAACCTTTAAATGAAATTCCCCTTCACATGACAGAAAGAAGGGGACGAGTAGCAGCAGCCAGTGATAGCAGACAGACCTCCCTCACACCTCAAGCCTCTCTTAACTCCTGCAATCCTTTGCGGTCTTTGAAAGTGGACTCTGATTCAAGGACACCAATAACTTGTTATGCTGATGATTTAGCTACTACAGTAGTGTCTATGGCCACAGAACTGGCAGCCATCTGTCTTGAAAACTCTACTGGGAAACAGCCCTGGTTTTGTGCTCTGAATGGGACTTCTCCAGAAGGGCCAGAGACCTACTTGATGCCAGCTTGTCGCACCGTTCTGAGAAGAAAAGATGGTCAAAACAGCAATGCTGCCTCAAGGAAACATCGAGCCCCACGCCTCAGTGAGATTAAGAGAAAAACAGAAGAGCAACCTGAACTAATGGAGCGGCTGGTTAACCGGGTGGTGGATGAGTCGGTTAACATAGATGAACCGGATCCGTTTGCCCTTTTTGCCTCTGAAGTCACAGCCAGAATCATGAACTGTCCTGAACTCAATGTGGTAGATACCTCTAAGACGGGCCAGCAGCGCAGCAGGCTGCAGTGTGAGAAATGGAGCCGTGGAAAAGCATCTAGTTATGAGAGCATTCCAGAAGAAGACGCAGATCCCTCAGGCACATCCAACACCTTGGGCCTTGGCAGTCGGTTAGGTCATAACTTGAGTCGTGGAAGTTCAATCTCTAAGCAGTCCAGCTGTGAAAGCATCACAGATGAATTCTCCCGGTTCATGGTAAACCAGATGGAGACTGAAGGAAGAGGTTTTGATCTTCTACTGGACTACTATGCAGGAAAAAATGCTAGCAGTATCCTGGCTGCAGCTGTGCAACAGGCTGCAACAAAGAAAAACGGTCACCTTAATGTCAGGACCTCATCTTGCCTTTCTAAGCAGTCCAGCACAGAAAGCATTACTGAGGAGTTCTATCGATTCATGCTTCGAGATATGGATAAGGAAAACAAAGAATATAGCATTGCCAAAACTAAAGAATGGAACAATAGCCTGTTCCCTCCTTCTCCTAGAACACCTTTCTGTATAAGACAGTCTTCTGTCCCAGACCGTCGCTCCTCAGACTCACGACTGACTGTCAACTCACCCATAAAAGCCAATTCGTTTGATGGGTTTGCCCGCAATATGTATGGAGACACACTGAACATCTACCCCACTAGTTCAGTATCAGCCACGGGACTATGCAAGTCTGACTCCTGCCTCTATCAAAGGGGTAAAACTGACCAGATTACTGATATGCTGATCCATGAGACCTGGTCAAGTTCTATTGAGTCTTTAATGAGAAAAAACAAGATCATTTCTGATCCAGAGGACAGCATTGAGTCAGAGGCTTCAGGAGACTCCCAGACACATGTGCAGCAATTTGCTAATCGACTGGCAGCTGACATTGTAGATATTGGCAAGTCTGCACTTGAAGGACATCAAGATGTAGCTGGGGCAATGCCTGGGTCCCACCCACAGCTGCACATGCCTGTTGGTGAAAGAAGAAGGGGGTTCAAACAGTCTCATTTAAGTTGTAGTCGAAGTAGGTCCAACCAGGAGCAAGCTGGTTCTGGAATAGGGTCCGGGCCTAGTGATACCAATATTTCCTGCACAAGAGGGCCTAGAGATGTGCCACTGATCCACATTGAGGGAGACCAAAAAGTGGAAAAGACTCTTTCAGTTACTGAAAGAACTGAAGGCAAACCTAAGGAAACATCAGTAGACACTAAACGTACGGAGAGAGTTAATGCCAGTAACAGCAGGTACGACATTTTTCACCACTCTGTATAAGAGTAAGAACCACATTTAAAGCAAAAAGGTTTTTTAGAGTCCAGTGGCAGAACTGGCCAACTCTTGACATGATAGTGGAAATCTAAAATGTCTAAAAATCAAACAAGATTAAAACAAATATGTGTCCTAGGTTATTTTTTAAAAATAAATAACAAAGATGTAATAAAAATATCCTCAAAAACAATATCTAAATAATCCTGTAATTGTTTTTAGTGTTTGATCAAAGTCTGACAGGCACTAAAAAAAGATCAGTCAACTGAGGGATATAAAGGATCTATTTTAGCAACATGTGAGTATGTTTGACAAACCTTTGACTAGGCTGTAATTTATGGCATCTGGGTGATGGACCATGTGCAGGAGGCTTTAATGTTTTCATCTGTGAGCCTGTTGAACTCTCCTTAATAAGTACAAGCTCTGCTCACTCCTGACTACCACACAAAAAATACTACAAATTCAAAGATATTCATAATACATGGAGCTACAAAGAATAATCTGTGTTTTTAGTTAAATTCAAACTAAACTGATATTTAAACAAAACAAAGACTCATCAAGTCAGCAGTATTTACTTTCATTTTAAGAGTAAACTGTCTTGAGTGGTTTTCTACAAAGACTCAGGTTCCCTTTGAGGTCATATGAGTAAAAATAGGAATAGAATGATGATATGCATTAAGAAAATGTTTGGTTGTAATGTTACTGTGCAGAACAAGTTAGTATATTGATTATAAATGTACATTTGAACCCAGAATTGTTCATGTCCAAAAACTTATTTAAAACTTTTTGTTAGTAGGATGTGATTTGAAGTCTTAAAGACACTGTTAGAGATGGTAATAACAAGCAATAATTAGTTGGGATTGATTATAGATCCAAAAATATTATTGTAATAATTGTGTGAGATGTACACTCCACCAATAAATAAATAAATAAATAAACAAATATGCATACATGCATACATACATACATACATACATACATACATACATACATACATACAT